GTGCTTTGGGTGTACAACAATACACAATAAAGCGCTATATAAATGCATCATTCATTCATTCATACTGTGTTTTTCACGTTGCTCACCTGCATCAGGTAGCGTGCGGTTCCAGGTGGGCAGGTACTGCGTCCGTACGGGGCAGGGAAGGATGAATGAAAAGGCAAAAACAACCACCAGGCACAGGAAGAGAGAGAGGAGGAATGCAGCCGTGCGCCACCCCGTCAGGTGTGACAAGCACAGCTTCTCTGTGCAGCTTTTCTCCTTAGACACGCCCCCTTCTGCCTCTTCACCCTTCAGAGGCTCCGCCTCAAAACCACGTCCTGATGCGTCTGCCATCTCAGACCAGCTCCACACCACTGCAAGACACAAGAGGGTGAGACATATGAGACCATGGACCACAAAACCAGTCATAAGGGTTCATTTTTCGAAATTGAGATGTATACATCATCTGAAAGCTGAATAAATAAGCTTTCCATTGATGTATGGTTTGTTAGGATAGGACAATATTTGGTCGAGATACAACTATTTGAAAATCTGGAATCTGAGGGTGCAAAACAATCTAAATACTGAGAAAATCACCTTTAAAGTTGTCCAAATGAAGTTCTTAGCAATGCATATTACTAATCAAAAATTAAGTTTTGATATATTTACGGTAGGAAATTTACAAAATATCTTCATGGAACATGATCTTTACTTAATATCCTAATGATTTTTGGCATAAAAGAAAAATCAATAATTTTGAGCCATACAATGTATTGTTGGCTATTGCTACAAATATCCCCCAGCGACTTAAGACTGCTTTTGTGCTCCAGGGTCACATATGAGATGTAATCATCTGGTTATTATTTTAAAAAATGTTATTTTATAGTTTGAGGAAAATACAAGAGACTAGCACAATTAGAAAATCGATCGCCTGGGTCAGCAGTCAATTATACAGTTTAGAGTTACATAATATTTGGGTAAATGTTGTATTCCAGAGTACTTTTTAATAATTTGACATAACCCTATTTAACCCTATAAAGCCTACTGTATCATATTTGATAAATACATGTCTAATGCATCTAAATCTAAATGATCATACTCATACTTTTTTAGCAAGTAAAAGGCCTTTTAGTGTCGCTGTACAAACGTCTACCTTCAGCTTGTTTAGCAGACTTAATGGACTGAAGCTACTAAGGCTTACTTGATTATCCATACATCATTTTTAACAAAAATCATGTTAAAATGTGAGTATTAAATATGATCATTATGCTTTTGAGGAACGTGTAGTTGTTCATCTCTCAGTCGTTTTAAAATAATGGTTTTGTATTTTAATATACTTTAAAATTTAATTTATTCCCATGATCAAAGCTGTATTTTCAGCATCATTGCTCCAGTCTTCAGTGTTACTTTTTTCAGGATTCTTTGATGAATAAAAAGTTAAAAAGAACAGCATTTATTCAAAACATAAATCTTTTGTAACAATATACACTGCCGTTCAAAAGTTTGTTTGTTTGTTTTTTTGAAAGAAATGAATGCTTTTATTCAGCAATAATGTGTTAAATTGATAAAAAGTGATAAAGACTTACATTGTTAAAAGATTTCTGTTTTAAATAAATGCTGTTCTTTTTAACTTTATTCATCAAATAATCCTGAAACTATCACAGGTTCAAATATATATATATATATAAAGCAGCACAACTGTTTACATTTACATTTAGTCATTTAGCAGACGCTTTTATCCAAAGCGACTTACAAATGAGGACAATAAAAGCAGTCAAAACTAACAAAAGAGCAACAATATATAAGTGCAAATGACAAGTCTCGGTTAGCCTAACACAGTACACGTAGCAAGGTGTATATATATATATATATATATATATATATATATATAAAATATATATATATTATACACACACATATACACACACACAAAGAAAAACAAGTAGATAGAATAGAAAAAAATAGAA